TATTTGATGCATCGATCATCTTAATTGGGGAAAAAAAGTATCTTCTTTATGCTGAATATTAAGAAACATTTTGATTTTTATTCCTTTTCCATTCGAAGAACAGAAATATCAAAGTTCTAAAACTTTCCTCTGCGATAAGAATTTTTATATAAAAAAGTTTAAATCGTATTCAAACGTACAAGTGTTTCAAAGTTTCCACTATTATATAGTGGAAGTCAGACACTGATAATTATATAATATGTTTATTATCGAAAGTTTGCAATTTAATTATTTCGATTATCTTATAATTCAACCCGAAGTTTGATTTAAAATTTAGGAATTTTGTATGAAACAAGGATCGCTTATAATTCATGTTTCGTTGAAATGTGTAGAGAAGGGAGATATTTCCAGTGGAATTTCATGAAAAGGTCAGTTTTACATCAAGTATACCATTCGTTATTATTTTTTCTCCCCTCCGATTTTATTAATGCCCCAATAATTTTCTTAATTAAACACTTCGTTTTTCTGGTCAGTTCAATTTTCTCTCCGAGTAAGTGAATCGAAGCCCTTAAAGTAATTTACGTTTTTTTTTTTTTTTTCTTTATCTTCGAATATTAATGAAAATATGCACGATACCATCTTTTATATAATTCAACATTATTTGTGACTCGTCACGAGTTTCATACGTACACCTGTGTCCACACCAGCGTTCTCCTCTTAATTTATTCAAAACCAAAACGCGGTCGAAAGGCATGGATAACACTACAGTCACTCGTTATTGCTGTGCATCAAGGATGCAAAGCTACGCTTTGTCCATGACGTCATTATGGTCGAAAGGACAGCTACACCTGTCGTTTCGATGCTCAGATGCAATTGCAATTACTCTTTTCACCGGCTTGACCGTCAATGGTTTACCTCAAACTCGTATCACAATACACGAATGTATAAAGAGAGACAAATCATTATTCAAGTACAAATAGATAGAAAATTTTTCGTCTATATTCCTGTCCTCGAGACGAATATCTTTTTATAAGGTAATCGTTTTAATTCGAGAAATTAAAGGCAGACCACGAGACCGATCTTATCTAAGTGCACCTGTCTATCCTAGGTCGATGTTCCTTAATTGGTTCCTTGGCTAAGAAAGGGACAGATGTTACGGTTTCTAGAACTAATAGGACGTTTCCTGTGCACGCCCTTCCTCGATTCCAGATCCGCTTCTCGAGATTATGGATCTCCCGTCTAAATCAAGCAAAGCGATATCTTCATCCTTTTCCTCCGGCCTTTCCATTAACTCGGAAATGGAATCCTTTTGCCAATACCTCGTCGATTGATCCTCGCGAAACAAAACAGGAAAACAAGACAAGGAGAAAAGATAGAGATAGAAATAGGCTGAGAAAACATGGCGTTAACATGCACAAAAATTCGATGATTCAATACGATCATTACACATCGAGACAATCATGCGTGGCCGCATGCCAACTGCGAGGTGCAATTGCTCTGTGCGCCTTTGTAAAAACAGATGCTAAACGGTGATCGGTGTCTGTCCGAAAGATACGCCATCGAAATTGTTCGAATCTCCGTGAAAATTTTGCGAACGTTCATTTCGATAACCGTCGAATGATTCACCGATTACGCGTTTTCGTCCATCGTTTCGTCGAACGTGTAGACGCTATTTGAATAAAATATAATTGGGGGAAAAAAAAAAACAGACACGTGCATGCAAAAATTGTGGACAAACAAAGGCGAGCCGATTAACGATGTGCAATCGATTTTGCATTTTATTATATCTTTTTTCTTTTTTTTTTTTTTTTTTCGTGTTATTACACGAATCCTTTTGCACAATAATTTATTGGTTAATGAAAATAAATGAAGCGTTATTCTTTTTAAATTTTACGATTAATTTTAAAATAAAATAATCAATTTTATTATTTATTTCTATCACTTTTATTGATACTATGAGAAAGAACGTAAATGAATGTAAATTAGTACAATTATATATGTATTTTTATTTGATAATAATTTAACATCGTGTAATATTATATAATATGATAATAATTTATTAATGCAATTAGCTATTGTGCAAAAGAATCATGAATTGATCGTTTTGTATTTCGATACGTATTTGGCTTCTTGATGAGGTTGATGTCAAAACGACAACGATAACGATCGATAAATGTACCCGGCCTGGCTGTCACGAAGAAAATAACGCCTCGTAACGCAAGCGTTTCCGGTTCAATCCGGTCGACGCGACCCGTTTCGACGAAAGGAAATTTCTTTTCTACACTATCCCGTTATCGACTATAAAAACGAAAGCGTAAATCACTTTTTTACAACCCTCTTCATTCTACATCAAGGGTTATTACAAAGATCTGATGGTCTTCCTGTCAATTAAAACCTTCACTGACCAAGAAAATTTGTTCTCCGACAAAGTACTACTAGACGTAGTTCTTTCGACGTGCTCCTGATTATTAACTTCTTCTTTGTAATTCGATGTAGAAAAAGATATGAAAATAATATGATCGATGCACCGGATATAAAATTATAAATCGTAAGTTTAAACATAACATAATTTGGTTTTTAATCTCGTTCTTACAAGTTCTGTAAATTTTTTAATCGAAAAAAGAAAAAATGCGGACAACCGAATTATCCATCTAATTAATAATAATTTGTTAAACGCAAAATTAATCTTTATATAAAGTAATTGATTCTAAACGAGATTCTAAAAAGATTTTGACGCACATATATTTTCGCGCAACAAACCGATTTCCGTATTAGCCAATATTCCCTCTATCTCTGGACAGTCATTAATTTGATATTCGATCGTAACCGAATCTCGTTAAAACTTTATTGCGAGCAGCAAAGAAAAAAAAGGAGAAGAAAAAAATCGTAGAATTGAAATTATCGACGACAATCGTTCAATTTCGATATCTCTATTATTAATTGTTCGAGTAATTGTTAGTAAAATTAATTCATAAATTAATCGCACGGTGCATCGGTTAACCTCACAATAAATTCTATAGACGCGGCCACGTACAGGGGATCAGCTGCTGCCTACTCGTATAGTCAGCAATGCCTATGTGTGTATGCACGTATACACAAAGAGAATCTTTCTGAAGAAACAGCGGTTGTCGTATTTCTCGAAGGTGATTTTCCCCGAATTCGAGAAATTATATCCGCGCGCGTCTGAATCCTGGCCCAGGAGAGGGTCGTGTATTGATTTTTCGCGTGGATAGCCGCGTGTGTAACGTCTAACCTCATTTCCCGTCGAGTAATCGTATACCCGGGCTGGTGACTACCACTGTGACGTATCGAGCTCTCGATCGTATCGCTGACGCTTCGCACGATGGTGAACGCGAAATCATCCCGCCTAATGGCGGGAGTTCGTTTAAAAAACGTATCACCAGATAGAATGTGGTGATCGATCGCGCGAGACGGAACCCTTCGACTTTTGCTACAACATCGAATGCCTCGCTTCGAATAGCGTGTCGTACATACACGATCATAACCGCAATTTTATTTGAGAGAAAAGTGGTCGTGAAAATCCGACAAGAGAACGAACGCGCGCGTCATTGATCACGAACACACGTAAGAAACGCGTAGAAACATCGACGGAGATACGGACGACGACGACGATGACGACGATAACGGCATTCTATTACCACGGAATCGTCATCGATCGAAATGTTATGTACATGCCGTATTAGGGAATTTATTTCTGTTACCTTTTCGATTCTCTCGAAAATGGTTCTCGAAACACGGGAAATGCGCGTGGATGCACGAGAACTGTGACTCACCTCGTCTTGCGCGGCTCCCGCTGCGGAATCCTGGTACCGAAAAAGAGTTGCAGCTTCTCTGCGACTTTCGAACACGATAGCACGGAAACAGAGACGCGAGGAATTTTGCCCGAACTTGTTACTACGGACTTCTATTCCTCACGACGATTGTGGCGTCTAATTCGTTTCGATTTGTATTTATCCGTGAACCGACACGACGTAACTTTCGTTGTTGTTCCCTTCTTTCCTCCGTTTGCCCTTCTCGCTTTCGACGTGACGTGTGAAAACGCACCACGAGAGACGAGACTAACGAGAGACCGTACCGTGTTCTCAAAGGCACCGCACGATTACTATTGGCCCGAATACACGACTCAGACTACAGGCTGGTCAATGGGAATGCGCACCGCTTCATGCGCGGTGCACAGCGGATCGAACCGGTTATGGACGGTCTACCGACATCTACCTTCGAAATCCTGATATAAAAAGTTTATGATTGAACAACCTTTAATCGACCTTGGATAAAACCAACTTTCACTTTATCGAGCGAGTTTCATCACGTTTCAGACCTTCCTAACCTTAAAAGGGTTTGTTCTATCGGTTCTGCAGGGATTCACGATATCTATTGTATCGTTACTAGTTGTCTAGTTACTTTATCAAAGTAGGAGGTCTTTACGTATGGATTTAGTGATATAGATAATTTTCGTTATCTGGTGTTATTATATCATGTTATTATTCGTTTTATTTCTTTTTAAAGTTTTATATAATATTAATGATATCTTTTTATAAAAAATATTAGAATACATTATGTAATAAAGCACGCGATATGTAAATGTATAATAATTATTAGATAATATAGATTTGATGAAAATGTTTCCTACTTATTATGATATTAAATATGCGAGATGAAACCGGTCTTGTAATCAAACGACTTCTACAATAATTATCACGAGGCTTAACAGGAACGATCCAGCTAGATCTAGTTTGAACAGCATGGAACAGCATAGAAAAAGAAAGCTTCGAGCTCCGAAAAAGAGATTTTGTTCGCAAATCATTCACACTGTGAACATCATATTTTGTACATTTATTTTCTTTAATGCTTTCTTTATTCGACAACTATTAAATATAACGTAATATATAACTATGTGGATAAAATATACCGATCGTATAATACTTTATCGAAGTACACGTGTCGCGTAATCTCTCGCACTTGATCGTCAGATAATCGTTACATTATTATTCTCGAACAAATTGATGTTCGCAGAATAACTAGAATAATTAGTATATAATTTACGAATTTTAAACTTAACGCTTTAATCATTTAGATTAAAAGCTTTTCAAGCAATTCGAAATGAATTTTTAGTCAAGGACACGATCGCATTCGCGAAACCCTACCATCAGCGTCACTTTAAAAGTAAATTAACGATCAGAAAGACGGAGTAGCTCTCACGGATGTTCTTTTGTAACCATCAAAGTGTGCAGCAGTCTATATCCACATCGCCACGATTCAAGGTAATTCTGAGTTGCATTACGTTGTCGGGCGTAAATCTGAAATTCAATTGCATTCTGGACCGTCACGTCCCACTTTCATTCCCGTCCCTTCCCTCGTTGATCAGTTACCATTTACCTCGTTCCCGAGATTAGTCTGCAAGAATCCCAGATCGGTTCGAACACGGTTCCCTCTCCTATTCTCCCTTCCTCGATCCGATCGATGCTATTCCCCTCCCCTCCCCCCATAATCGAGTCAAATATGAGAAGAATGGAACAACGAAACGGAAGCGCTCTCTCTCGAGAGAGCTTCGAGAGAAAGCTTCTGTCCGTTTTATGAAATTCACTTTGACGCGAACGAGAGAGATTAAATTTACGAATCGCAACGAAATCTCTCAAATGGGAGGGATGTTGGAGGGTGGGTTGAAATCGTGAGCTATCGCCTCTGACAGCATCCATCCTACCATTTTGACGACGTCAAGGTAAACGAGAGTCTTTCTCCTTCCGTCTTGCCGAGTAATCCTCCCCTGAGATTATCCGAGCGTCCCTTTATTTATGTCTGGTTAAAAGGATTTTAATACACGTTGCTGTAGCAATTCAAAAAGACGCGGACCATATTTCTTAACGGGATATTTAAATACTAAATCGAGGATTCAATTGCGATATCGTGCAACGCGTCATCATCCTTTCCCATGTTTAATCCTTATCTTCGTTTGTCAATCTTGTCGTGAAATCTTTGAACCTTTCTTGAATCGAAAAGTTTTTCCCAATCCATTTGTTGTTGTTGGTGTGAAGTAAACGATATATTAAAAATTAATTCTCTTTTCACACGCTGGATTTTTAAATCGAGACACGTTGTTAATTAAAAGATAATTTAAACAGTTTGGAAAAGTTTCCGATAGAAGAGTTCTTAGGAGACGATTTGCATTATATTTAAGATGGTTTCTTTGAGTGATGAATAATAATCAGACACGAAATGGTTAGCTTTTAGAATACGTAATCGCGAAACTTGTTAAAAGTGGATCACCTCTCGCTTTTGTTGGGAGAATTTACTCGAGTAAATAGTAATTAAAAAATATAAAAATGATATTCAAACGTATTTAACAATTTCCAAGTCTTGGCGATAAGAAATATTTACCTCGTTTCCTCGTTAAAATTTTAATTAAGACTTGTTAAAAATCGGTCTCGAGGTGTAGAAATTGATTCCAATATTGATTTCTGTAACGACACGAAATTAAAACACGAGCAATTATGAAATATATTAACATACAAACGAAAAATACGAATATATAAAAGCGTGTGGAAGCCGGACTGTGAAATATTACCAGACTCGACATTCTTTCTCGTTATATCTCGTTTACGAGTTTCTCTGATACGATACGTTGCATCTGAATCTATCCCCAACCCCCCTGCTCCACTATTCGCCTTTGGAATCTTCGTGAAGAGATATATATCTCCTTTAGTATATTCATCATAAAAATGTATATTTATGTATATTTTCACCGGTCTCCTACGTGGAATGCGTATTGTGTTACCACGCACCAACCCCCTCCACACTCTTCCCTCTACCCTCCCCCTCGATTACATCGGATTTGCAGGAAGTGCTGGCACGAACGCGAGCTTGTTCATTCGTACGTGGGAAGGGAATACGTGGTTTGTAATATGCGTGCAACGTCGAGGGCATATTTTTTCTTACTCTTCCACTTCATCCTTACATCCCTAGCGCAGCAGTCGATGTGTTTTTGACGTTGGAAACTCTTCGCTTTGGAGGGGGGGCCAATTCTTTTATCACAAAAAAATTACGAAGGAACGGTATTTAGTCTGTCAATCGTTATCAAAGAATCGTTGTAAACGTTGCAGAGGGGAGACAGGCTTAAAGCTACTTTATGTAGTTTTTTTTCTTTCTTTTCTTTTTTTTTTTTTTTTTTTTTGTGTGTATATAGAAAACTTGAATGCTGATCGACGATGTTTCTCTCTCCATATCACTTGTTTCGTCTCGTTTGTTTCTTGTTGTTCAATATTTTGTATACATTTTGATTTAAGATTGATTTATATCTGTTTTTTAGTCACGATATATTCGAACGATGTATTGAAAGATGGCTTACATCGATATATATTGAGTATACTCGTCGGAGAATCGATTGAAACAAATTGATAGTGTCGATTTATTTATTTATTGAACAGTTTAAATTCGATGGAACTGGAAGAAAACAAAGTAAGACTGTGAATATTATTCTCTCACTTTGTTTATGTACTTAAGCGGCTTGTAATTTAATAGATAAATCTCAAACGACATGTTCGTACATTTGTTTTTTTCCTCTCTAGAATAGAATTCTCCTCAAACAAATATCAAATCTTTCCACGATACATTATTCTTATATTATTTAAACATTGTTTGAAATATAAATTACACAACGTGGATCAATGTAAAATAAATCAAGTGCAATATAATTCTATAATGGGAAATGCTTACAGTTAAAAGTTTTGTTTTATTGTTAAAAATTGGATGGTTGTTCGGTTGTTAATCTTCCTGATGGAAATAAAAAAAAAAAATTGAATCTGAAAGGCAGGGAACTTTTAAATGAATACGTATGCAACGTATTAAACGGGAATAAGCTTCGAACCAAGTTCGCGTCAAGGATAAGATTAATGTATATTTTTTAACTCGGTCGGAAATTGGATAAGTTCGTGCAATGTTGAAAACATTATTCACGATGAAAACGTTCCCCTGTTTCAAATGATCGCTACCTTCAAGCGATGATGCAACTCGTTATTATAAATTTCTGAGTTACAAACTCGAAGAATATTTTTGAATTCGATCGAAGTCTGTTTCAATAAGCCTGTTGATAGACGGAATATTCAATCTTCAATGCTTTCATTTTCTTCATGAATGAATCATACGAATATATATATATATATATATATTTTGCGTAATATTCCTGGAATTTTAACTCTTGCAATATTCGCTCTCTCTCTCTCTCTCTCTCTCTTTCTTTGTTTCTTATATCGCAAAGGAAAGTGCTGCAACCGAAGAGAATTTTGTCCGATTTCACGAAAGATGCTTGGAAATCGTTAAACCAAAGTTTCTTGAATCAGTACACGTCCCTCGAGTATTTTTTACACGTTCATCGATGATCCTACTGTGGTGGGCCGCACTGCAGAAATCTCACGGAGTAAAAGATATAGCAATGAGACACTGGGGTGTGCTTCGATCGAGTGTAAGGGAGGTTGGTTACCTCGTTGTATCGTCGCCCTCCACTGGCAATACTTTCCATTCTTACGCGTGTATATGGAAAGAAAAGAAACAAGCACGTTGCGCTCATTTGTATCCTTGGCAAGTGATCGTATAAATAATACATTCCAGAAATATGCTCCCGCCAGCGCAAGACAGTGACCGAAATTGTGTATTAATATTAAATTCCCACGAAGCTTTGCTCACCGTTATGAATCCGCTGTCGTGTCGAATGGCAAGGCTTTCGAGTTTTTACAACAACCGTTGAAATGATCGAATTTTTTGATCGAGGGAAATTTTTCATCAATATTGTTAATTGCACGAAAGAATCGTTTATTGAGTTGTAAACGATTGAATTAGAAGAAGGATTAATTAAGGTTATTAAAAGTTATAGCGATCAGAGAAATTTTAATACAATCTACGATTTATTTGCTGGTTTGAAAATATATTAAATATCCCATAGATATTCGTGATTAAAATATCACGTGAAATTAGTTAGGAAAATTTATTCGTAGAGCGGCTAACCGCGATCTTTCCTCGAGTATAATATGTCTAATATTAATAAATTCTTCACGAAAAGGGTCGTTTATACAGGTTTTAAATATATAAGATATGGGGGACGCGCTTTAAGTCATCACAATTGTTCGACAATTTGTTTGCAACGCTATAAGTGCACGTATCTCTCGTATACGATTTTCAATAAATGAATATTTAAGCTTTTGAAAAATATAGAGAAATCCTTGCTTGTTTAAAAACTCTTGATATCCCACACCATTTTATTATTCTTTTTTATTATTCAACTTCAACTTTTGCCTCGAATATCGAATATCTTGTAATCGATTGATCGATAAATCTTCGGATGATCGATAAGTTTTCGTTCGGTTTTTAAATTAATTGTATACATAAATA